CCTGTATGCATCGTGAAACCTGCCTTGCCCGCACACGAAATAGGAGACGCCGCGCTGCCGTGCAACAAGCGCGTCTCCTGCCGAAAGTAGTGGTGAACCTCCTGGCCCTTGTCGTGGTGCATCCTTTCCTAGAAAGCCTGTCCCGTAGTCCAGGAATTTCAATTGTAAGTCACTAGCTGAAGTGTGCCGTCCAGCTTTGTCTGAGTACGATGCGCGTTGTCTGCGGCAGCGCCTTGATGCTTGCCGTCAACATAGTCTGGACGCGCAGTCGGCATGTCAAGAGGGTGTGTTTGCCCGGGGGGGGGCGCGGCCTTCGGGTGCTCGCCGAGCTCCTCCCCTACCGCCCCCCCGTGGCAGACGGATCCCGCCCGTGCTGCCATGCAGGCAGCGGCGCGATTCCCGCTCCTCGTTCCGACCGCAGCCCCCGAACGGGGGCCCGCGGCACTGCCGACAGCGGCGCCGACAGCAGCCCCCGAGCGGGGGCCCGCGGCACTCGGAGGGCCCACGGGCCTCGCGACTGCCATTTCCTCCACACCACTTCCCCTTGAGCCTCGAAGTCCCGACTGGGGTGCGGTATCAGGGATGCCCGAGGTGTGCCGCACACGCGCGCGCACACGCGCGCACTCGGACTGTCGACGCACAGAACACCACCGGAGGCCGATGAGTGGGCCCTGCAGCGAGTCCGAATGAGCACCTCTGGGTCCATCATGTGGCTGGGCCCCTCCTGGGCTCAGCGGCACGGCGGCGGCGGGTCCCCAGGATGCTGGAGCCTCCGCGGCGGCGGAGCTCGCGCTGGTCTCTGGAGGAGCCCGTGGCCCCCTGTGTCGAACATGTGGCTGGGCCCCCCCCCCAGGCACCAGAGGCGCGGCGGCGGCGGGCCACCAGGATGCTGGAGCCTCTGCGGCGGCGGCGTCGCTGCTGGCGCCTAGGGAGGGCCTTTGCCCCAGCGCCAGATCCCGCGGCCGAAATCGATCCCCCCGTAGCCCCCGGAGCTGCAAGCGACGCCGAAGACGTCTCACATGTGGGCATTGGGGCCCGACTGGCGAGCGGGCGCCCAGGTCTGTCCAGCGCGCCCACTCCATCAAGGGACTGGGCCTCCTGAGGCCGAGGCGCCATCGGGGGCCCCTGCCTGTTCCAACTTGAATTTGTCATCGCGGGCACGAGCACGCACATGAGTAGCAGTACTGGGCGTGGAGTCATCGATCTCCACCACCTCGGGCTCGGTTGGGGCTGCGGCCGCTGCCGCTGAGCCGCCTGCTTCGCCGCCGCCTGCCCCCCGAGCAGATCCATCAGCTGCCCCGCGCTTCTTCTTGGTAAGCCTTGCGCACTGCTGCGCATGCTCGGCTTTGCGTTTGTCGAACTGGTCCTTGGCTTGGAAAAGGGACTTCGCATTCTCGCGAATGAGTTCCTCCAACTTCTGCTTCCGCTGCTGGAGTTCATTCTTATCTCCTGCCGACAAATCATATTCCTCATCGGCCACTTCGAACAGATCTCAGCAATCGATGGTGAAGGTGCCGCCCAAGAGAATGTCCAGCCGCGTGCCCGCCGCTGGAGGAGGAACATGAGAACTTTGACGTCTGACCTCGTCTGAATGCTTGCGCGTGAGGCCCGCGATCCTGGAGTCGAAATCATCGAGTTCCACTGAGCTCTTGGATCTTATCCCGCTGCTGTGCCATACTCTGTTCCCACTTGTCGACCAAATCCAGCTCTTTTCCGTTCTCCTGATGTGACCATCTCTCTCGTCGGCCAACAGAGACACCTGCTTCTCGGGCGGCAACAGCACAGGGCCCGCAGCCTGGCGATCCACCTCCAACAGGCGGAGCTTGCACTTGTTGGCGAGCATGGTGAGGCCTTGCTTGCTGGCCAGCGCCCAGAGCTGCTGGACCTCCCCTCTCTGCATCTCGTGGACATCGGGTGCCATGGGGTCAGCGCCTCTGGCGAACTGGGGCCCAGCGCGCAGAGGTGGGCGAGTGTCGCCTGCCTGCCCCCTGCCGTCTCGCCTCTGCCCTTGCCGCTGCCTTTGCCACCTGGTGGATCGCCGCCCGCGCCGCGCCCACGGCCATTGCGCAAGCGCCCTGGCTTGCCTGGCGGCCTCTGCCTCTGCCGCGGCCGGCTGCTGCTCAGGCCATGGTTCCCTGGAGTCGAGAGACGCTCCGCACTGGGAGCAGTTGTTCGCCGGCCTCTTGTTTGATTCCCACAGCCACAAGACCAACACTTGAGCAATTCTGGCTCAGCGGCTGCGAGCTTCCACTCATCAGCAGCAGGGCGCGAATAAACCCAAGGCGCATGCTGTTTGGTCATGCGAGGCTGAACGCCTCAGGACTGTAATAGTTAGAGTGTGTGAAAAAAAGAAGAGTCTCCAGCCTTGGCAGGCTGGGAGGGAGACTCTGAGCTGTCGGGGGCCGCACCTCCCCCACGCCAAACAAAAACAAGTTCTGAGCGAAACCGCTACGGACTTGAGCCAAAATGGCTACGGAGGGCAGGAGGAGGAGGAGGAGGAGGAAGGGTTAGGAGGATGAGGAGGAGGAGGAGGAGGAGGAGGAGGAGGAGGAAGAGGGGTTAGGAGGAGGCCCCCCCGTCGGTTCCCGGGGGAGGTGCTACCGGCGGCGCGGGCCAGAAGAGGAGGAGGAGGAGGAGGAGGAGGAGGAGGAGGAGGAGGAGGAGGAGGAGGAGGGGGAGGAGGAGGAGGGGGAGGAGGAGGAGGGGGAGGAGGAGGAGGAGGAGGAGGAGGAGAAGGATCTTTTTCACCAGATGTTGGGTGTGTTGCAGGCCTCCTTCAGCTCCTGGTGCCTCCACCTCGCCAGGGAAGCCCGTGCACATCATGTTGAATGTCCTTGTCTGGGGCTGCGAGGTCTTGTCTCGGTCCTGTGGGTCCGCGATCCTGTAGGCTCACGACCAGAAGGCGAGGCCCTGCAGGCTGGTGGGCGGGTGCACTTTGGCTGTGACGACCGGCTTAGGCCGGACGGGAGTCGGGGGGATTGCACGGATGACGCGCGCCTCCGCCGCCGCTGCTGGAGCTGCGCGATCGTCCGAGGGAACGTGGCCAGAGGCAGAGCGCACGGCACCCTCCCAGGACGGATCCAGACCGTCCCGTCAGCTGAGCTTGCAGGCAGAAGTGTGGCTGTGAGCGTACACAGTGATGACTGCCACGTCGTGCTGGATTTTCAGGCCGCGATCGATGGAATTCGCCGCGGGCTCCACTCGAAGCATGAAACCAACTCAGCGGCCTGGCTTAATTTCGGAGAGGCTCATTGCAGCCATCCAGGGGAGCGCCACTTTAGAAAGGTATGGCCTCACCTCGAAAAAGTGGATGTCGGGGTCCATGTTACCCGGGAGGGGATTTCCGCAAATCAGGTGGCAGATGAGTGCGCAGGGGATGGAGCCCTTTGTTCGCTCCCCCAGCACATCATCCAGCAGGTGTGTGATACTGACAACCGTGTCGCTCGAGTGCAGAAGCGCCTCGCAGAGGGTGCTAGGGGGAGGGGTGGAGAGGCTCCCTAGAAGCGCCCTGCTTCTTAGAAGGCGCGGGCCGTGTCTGTAGATGTAAGGCCGGCGCCTTCTTCGAAGCAACCTCCTTCTAAGAGGCCTTCCCTCAGGAGGGAAAAAACACACAGACACATTCGATCGTCGATTCCTCCGAAAATATGGGAAAATATGGGAAGTGGCGGGGAGGGCAACAACCCAGAAAATATGGGAAAATATGGGGAATCCTGTTATCTGTGTGTATTTACTTGTGTGTCCCAGGGCCCCTTCCTCCCCCCTCCCCCGTGCCCCCTGGCACGCGCCGCCAGCACGCGGAGAGAGTGCACGCACGTCGGCCGAGAAGGGCACGGAGGGCGGGAGCGTCCGAGCGGCGGCGAGCGATGGCGAGCCCTGGCCCCTTCGGTGCGGGTCCTCGTGTCGTGCGAGCCGCTCGCTCCGGCCGCCCTTCCTGCGACATTCACGACGACGTTCACGTCGACGACGACGTTCACGTCGACGACGACGACGACGACGGCGACGACGACGACGGCGACGACGACGACGACGACGACGACGACGACGGCGACGGCGACGGCGACGACGACGACGACGAGCCTGGGAACGAGAAATGGCATAAACATAAAAACTCTGAGGTCCGCGCGGATGTCTCGGATCCGCGCTGAAGCCCCTCCCTGGCGCGCGGAGCGCGCCAGGGGCGGCGCCGGAAGCGCCGCCAGGGGACCCCAGTGCCGATCCGAGAAATCCGCGCGGACCTCCGAGTCATTATGTTTATGTCATTCTTCGTTCCCCTACTCGTGCACGGTGGCAGAATTCGCTCCAAAGGCATCCCCGTTCAGGCGTCCCATCGCCAGCGCAGACGTCCCTTGCCCAGCCGCCGACGCAAAAAGTGCCATGCGGGCCCGCTCCCAGGATCACCTCTGGCTGGTTCCCAAGACCGTAAAGAGGGGCTGCCGTGACTTGTTCTGCAGCCGTTGCGGTTCCTGCTCTCAGGGGAGGGTCGCCTCCCTCCAGCTGCAGCAGGACTGCCATCGCGTCACGCCCAAGCAAATCAGCCTGCTCAGGCGTGTGTTTTCTCCCATGCCGAAGGACATCAGGCTTTGCTCCCCATGGCCGATTCGGGCCAGCGAGGACTGGTGGGGCTTCTTCTGGCTGTCTTAGATATTCCTTAGTCTTACAAGTCGCTCTGTTTGAATGGTTTTTGAGGTTTAGCGCCGAGGCAAAAAGAGGGAGATAGAGGGGAGGAGGAGGAGGAGGAGGAGGAGGAGGAGGAGGAGGAGGAGGAGGAGGAGGAGAAGCAGGAGGTGGAGGAGGAGGAGCAGCAGCAGCAGCAGGGGGTGGAGGCGAGGGAGGGGAGGGAGGAGGAGGAGGAGGAGGAGGAGGAGGAGGAGGAGGAGGAGACGAGGAGGAGGAGGAGGAGGACGAGGAGGAGGAGCAGGAGGGGGAGAGGGCCCTCGAACTTCAATCATCCCATTGGACCTGTCGGTTCTGGCTGGGGTCTGTCCAGCAGCCTGCGCTAGGGCAGCGGCGAGCCGGAATGGACCGACGAGAAGCTGGTCGAGGTGGCCGAGCTGGTCGCCAAGGCGGCCGCATCTTGCCGCGAGAGCGACCACGCCAACCTCCTCGTTGTTCTTCCTCGTCCGTAGCCATTCCGGCTCAAGATGTTTCTAGGGCCCGCCCTTCGCATGGATACCGCTGGTTCGCGGCTAGCCTTCATCGGGAGACCGCAACGGCGGGGTGTGCTCCGGTGTGTGTGTGTGTGTGTTTGTGTGATTTCGATCTGCTTTTGCACCGAACCGCCCTAAACAGATGCCCCCCAGCCGCCGGCAGCTCCCGATGGGTGCCAATAGGTGGGGCATGCGGGGGGCATCCGTTCGCGGCAGTTCGGTGCACCAGCGGATCGAACTCATGCCCCCCCCTCGCGGTCACCCCCCCTCTTGGTGGATCCCGACAAGCGCAGTCCTGATCCCAAAGCTGTCCCACCGAAGAAGGAAAAGGGACGGACAACCCGTGGCACTATTCTTGGCATTATTGACGTTCTTCCTGGCGAAGGCGTGTCTTCTTATGAAGACGACGGACACGAGGAGCAGTTCAAGGGCTACCGTGACGAGGCCCAGGAACACATCGCAGCCTCTGCTGGTGCCGCCGCCAAGTCTGCCATCGACCCCATCCAGCCGGACATGGACGCGCCCTTCTCGCCCTCAACCAAGCCACTGACCAAGCTGTCGCCTCCGCGACTGCCGCTATCAAGCCCTACTTCGACGCCATGGAGCAGCGCATGCAGTCCCAGATCGACGCTGTCACCAACGGAATCGTGCTGGCCGCATGCTCCAAGGCGACCACGGCGAGCGCTGGTCGAGCCTGGTCGCCGCGAGATGGCCCTGGCCGACAAAGCACCACCACCGCCTGGAGCCTCTCACAACACCTTCAGGCGCGTGCCCGACGGTGCCATCACCAGGGTCGCCTGCCCGCTCGCCTGCAGGAGAGATGGGGTGCTGCGCCCTGTGAGTCACTGGCTTCGCGGCGCCAGCTTCAAGGAGAACTCGGAGCCCGATGGCGAAGACCAGGCCACTGTCTTCAGGACTCGCTCCAACGGCGCGGTCGCTGTGGCAGGGCGGCGCTTCGTGGAGGCGCTGTCTCGTTGTCTTCGCTCAGGCTGGATCGAAGATGGAAGCGTCACCAGCGCCAAGACGCAGCCCCCCACACCGGCCCCGACAAGAAACCGTTCCGAATCCATCGTGAGATCCACGGCAAGCGCTCGCTGATGGCAGTGCGCGTAACCGCTTCCCTGGCAGCAAGTTCTCCCTCGACCGCGAGCACAGGTGGATCTCGGAGGCTTGGACACCATTCAGCAAGGTCACGCCGACGACTGGCGACATGCCATCCCAGCTGATGGTCAACAGGGTGGGGCTTGCTGCTCGTGGATGGGGCCGCGCTAATGTCAAGGCCGAGATCGGCGCCACCACAGCCTCTGACGTACATGCCGAGAGATGTCCTAAGCTTCTTCACGGGGCTCCGTGCTGCACATGCGGTCGGGCTGCCGCCGTCTGGGCACAGCTTTTCTTTAGTCCTGTTGAAAGCTTGGGCCTTTTTTTCGCTGGCGCTTCTGCAGGGCGTGCGAGAAAACCAGTTACTTGCAGCACCTCATCGGCGGAACGACCGCCATCATCCAGGAGGTGCGCCGGGGCGCGGCGCAGCTCAAACAGTTCATCAAGCGGGCGGCCCCCTCTCTCTCGTCACTCGGCTCGTCCTGCAGCAGCAGTGCTGGGCCTCTTTTGCGGCGGCATGTCCAGGGCCGTCCCTTCCTCAGCGGCTGCTCCTCGCCGCGCGTCGGCCCGCGCCCTGGCCGCAGGCAGCGCCCTCCGCCCGGCGGCCGACGCTCCTCCCGCGCAGCCTCGACGCCACGGCGTGCACCCCCCCCTGGCGCACGACGGCGAGCGCGCCGTGTGGCGCCTCGGCTCCACGTCGGCCTGCAGCGTGCCCGCGCGGGCCCGGAACACCGTTGGCTCGTGCCCTACAGTCAAAAACCCTCATAAGGACGCGCGACTTTGCTCAGGGTACCCTTGCGTCCTTGCTCTTCCTTGCTCTTGCGTCCTTGGGGTTTTCGTCATCCGCCGCCCCAAGACTCCCAACTTCGGCTTCCAAGGGTCCTGCGTCCCTACCGCGCGTCCTTATTAGGGTTTTTGACTGTAGACGTGCGACACGTCTGGGGCTGGTCGGCGGCGCGGGCTTCTCTCCGTACTTCTGCTGGCGCGAGTGCTGCCGGCCGGGGTCCGCCCGGCCGAGGTGTGGGCCGGCCGAGAGGCGTGGCCTGGCCGCGCGCGGCTCCGGCCAAGGTTCGCCGGGCCGAGTTGTTTTGATCCGTGGCGGGGCGTCCTTGATGGCCCTGTCCGCCACCACCACCAGAAGTTGGAGGGGGGAAGGAGGATGAGGAGGAGGACGAGGAGGAGGAGGATGAGGAGGAGGACCCCCTCTCCATCCCACTTATGATGGTGGTGGCGGTGGAAAGCAAGCCTACCAGTCCTGGTTTGCCCATAGGCCCACCAAGGCATGTTCTAAGAACCTTTTTGTGGTCTGGACGAAAGGTTCTTACAGCACCTCTGGCTGAGACTGTTCTGTTTTGAGACATCGGGCTTGCGTTATAAGGACATTGCTTTATTTTGTTATTACAACATCTTTGGGTTCTGAAAACACGTCGTGGTAGGCCTATAGGAATGCTGGGACGGTCGGTCCCTGCTCAAGTTTGTCCTGGCCGGATGTAGTTGCCAGGGCCCATCTCCACTTGTCACGGCCAGGATCCCCTTGTGACGCAAGGATAGCAAAGACAAGCATGTTGTTGATCTTCGTCAGCGAAGCGCAATTTACCAACGAATAGACGTATCTTGTGGCTGCCACGTTTCCCCCGGGTCGTCCCCCATTGGGGCGCCCGGGCGCTCATCTGGACAGCCTACAGCAAAAAGGCAGCAAGGTAGCGTGTGGGTGGAGATATCTCGTGGGCCGCCCCCCCCACACAAGAGGAGTTGGTATTTCTTCCGCGGCGGAAGGCGGCGGAAGGTTGGCGGAAGGTCGGCGGAAGTAAAAAGAGGCCGCTTCCGTCGGTAGAAGCCGGCGGAAGGGCGTCGGAAGGCGGCGGAAGTAAAAGATGCGCCCCCAAGAGATGGAATCGTTTTTGTGTTCAGGGTTTCCGAAAACACCCCTATCGTGTGAGTGTTTTTCTCGTTTTGGGATATTTCTGTGCGCCGACGGATACCGAGCGGCACCGTCGCCGGCGCCCCCCCGTCAAGGGGTGCCGAGGCTGCCAGAACCCTCGCTTTCGCCCACGATGGTCTGAGTGCCGCCGCGAAAGAGCTCCAGCACCTCCTCCTCCTCCTCCTCTTCCTCCTCCTCCCTCCTCCTCCTCCTCCTCCTCCTCCTCCTCCCTCCTCCTCCTCCTCCTCCTCCTCCTCCTCCTCCTCCTCCTCCTCCTCCTCCTCGTTTCCCTCCTCCTCCTCCCCGTCGCCGTCCTCCTCTCCTCTCTCCTCCTCCTCTCCTCCTCCTCCCCTTCCTCCTCCCCCCTCCTTTCTTTTCCTCCTCCCCCCCTTTTTGTTCCTCTTCCTCCTCCTCCTCCTTCCCGTCCTCCTCCTCCTCCTCCTCCTCCTCCTCCGCTCCCCCTCTCTCCTCCTTCTCCTCCTTCTCCTCCTCCTCCTCCGCCTCGTCCTCCTCTCGTCCTCCCCCTCCGTAGCCATTTTGGAGGATCAGGCAGCGGGAGGCCCACGCGCGGCGGCGCGCGCTCGCGCTGGTGCGCGCGCCTGTTGCCCATGACGGACCCCGAGCCCGACGGCAAGCGGCGCTGGGCTGCGGCGTCGGCGCGCACGCTGGCCAGGCGGCGCCGACGCGAATGGCGCGCCGCTGTCGGCGAGTCGCGGGCGCTGGCCATCAGCAGGAGGGTTGACATTCTCAGCAGGTCGCTTGGGGCCCACTGGGCCCTAGGCGACGCGCTGGGCGGCCACGAGGCCTCGATCATGGCTGCGGTGGGAGCGGCCAAGCTTATCGGCCTGGACGAGCTCGCGGCGCTGGCCGAGGAGCTCGGCAGCTCGGCCAACTGGGCTCGGCATGCTGCGCCGCCTGGCCTGGCGCGGCTCCGCAAGGTTCCCTCGGGGATCGTGGCGACGAAGCTGGAGAAGTTCCACGCCCGACTCCATTCCTCCAAGTTCGTGGTGGTCACCTCGCTGATGGCGGAGGCGCGCCCCTCGCAGTGCGACGACGGGGACGAGCTGGAGTTGGAACGGCAACATGAGCAGGTCGTTCAGCCGGCGCCGTCGTCCACCAGCGGCAGCGCCGGCGAGGGCTTGGAGGTGGCAGTTACGGATTCCGAGGTTGACGAGGGCGTCGCCCCCAGCTGCCCTGACTTCCAGCACGTGCGCGGCAATGAGCAGGAATACGAGGATCTGACGATGCGCCCCGACGTGGTCGAAGCCGTGGTGGATGGTGACCCCAGGGGCGAGGACATCGGCCTGCTGGATGCCGTGCTGGATGTGCCCGCTGGCGGCCCGAGCATCGGGACTAGCCCCGCTGGCGAGAGTCTGAAGGAGGAGCCGTGGTGCGTGTTCGACGTCACGGACGTGGAGCCGATGGGCCCTGCAGTGCTCGCGCCCGTGCGCGCGGTGGTGCGCGCCGTCCCGCGGGCAGCCCCTGGCGTTCCGCCGAGGGGCTTGGTCGAGCAGTGGGGCCACGTCGGCATGAATGCGGAGCCAGCTGGCAGCCCGTGCGATCGTTGGGCAGCCCTGGCTGGCGAGGAGCCCCGACGAGAAGTCGATTGGTGTGAGATGCAGCGGCGGTCTGCGAGCGGCGCGAGGCGCAGGTGTGTTGGCAGCGGTGTCGCCGCTCAGCCGCTCCCTGAGTGGCATCCCGTTCGTCGCGATGCTGCTGGGCGCGTGCTTCGTGGTCGACGTCGCGGCTGGGCGGGGGAGGAGCTCCCACAGGCTCGTGTCCTGAGGGCCTCCCCGAGGCCAGACGACGCAAAGTTGTTGCTCCGCTTGAGTCCTGCTTGAGTCCTCTCGTCCTCCCCCTTCCCGTCCTGCTCCCCCTCATCCCCCCCCTCTCC